GAGGGCCCGCTCCATTTTCCAAAAGTTCTTTGGTTGATTTGGATGGCATACTTGTGTTCAGCAACCACTGAAGCCATGGGCTAAATTCACGAATGCTTCTACAAAACTGACGTGACAGGTTGATGGCGTGAGCTAGGAGCCCAAGTGTCCCAGAGGCAGGCGCTGCAGCGTCACTTTGTCACTCCCAGTCTCGTTTCCTATCATCCTTGTGGGCCACCAGCGTGATCCAAATGTCACAAGCCCGACGTAAAATCAGAGATAAACATGATTTATCTGTATAAGCTGCACATCCTGTTGTTTTATATTTTCAACACCTCATTTTTTGAATGTTCTGCAACTTGGTTTCTTAAAAAAAAACATTGTTTAAAAAAAAAACAAAAAACAAAAAACAAACATTGTTTTGCCATCTGTCCCCACGAATGTGTACGTGAATCTGGTCCCGCCTCTGTGGTGTTGCGACGCTCCCTTTAAAAACAACTTAATCTCTATTCTTAGCATTTGCCGTGATCTGCACTTAGCTGTTGCTGGCTTGCATGAAACTCTCTTTAACTAAGTGGAAGAAGGGGTGGTTATGGGACCCCTGCAGCTAGCCCAGCGCCACCGAAGAGTCTGTCTGGCCGATTCTCCTCTCCCAAGGAGTTTAAGTGGTTTGCACAGACCCTGCATTAATTCGGGGGCAGCAGTGCAAGAGCTTCTGGGGGTGCCCGCTGGGGCTGCAGGGTGTTTATGTGCACACCTGGGGAGGCCTTCAGGAAGCCTTTGGGACGACAGACGCTTGCTGATTTATGGCTTGTCACAATGTCATTTCGTTGTAAACAACATTGTGGAAAAGTGTCAGCAAGGAAATGAATCCTGCTCAGGCTAAAAATAAGCAATCTCAGCATTAAGCAGAGAATGTATGCTCGTGGTGTCAGGCATCACACGCAGCGTTATCGCCCCTAGGAAATTTTTCTTGTGTTAAGCAGGCCAGCCCAAGCCAAATTCCAGGCCAGTTTTCCCCAGCACCGCCTTGGCGAAGTCAGCCCTAGAACTTTTCCCTGCGTGTGCTGTAAGCTTTTGTTATTTTCTGTTTCACGGGGGTAACATTGGCTACGACTTTGTTGATAATTTAGAGGCCTGGGATCTCCCTTCAGGTGCTATCACACCACTCCCACCGCAAAAATGACTTCTATTCCTTCAGCATGGTCCACTGCTCCCTCCGGTTTGGATCCTACCCCTTCCCAATCCCTCTCTGGTGGCCTCAGCCCCACAGTCCGCTTTCAAAGGTTAGTTTTTCAGTTTGTCTTTATCTGAACCTTTGCTTGGTTTCTCCACATTCCACATCTACGTGACACTATTAGGTGTTTGTGAATTACTTTGTATAAGTTCCTCCTGCGCCGTCCACATCGTTGCAAATGGCAACGGGGGGGGGTCACCTTTTTACCAGCCGAGTAGTATTCCGTCGTGCATATAGAATGCATCTTCCCGATCTGCTCCCTGTCAGGGGGCACGTAGGTTGCTCTCATAGCTTGGCTGAGGTAAACTGCTGTGCTGTGTAACAAGCACATTTCATTATTTGTTTCTTTGCCTTTTGCTTCTCTGTTCTTTGCTTTCTTACTTTCTTCCTGGTTAATTGGATGCATTGAAACATATTCATTGATATTCTTAGCTTCTGCCTTATTTTCGCAGTGGTTGCTCTAGAGACATATATTCTAGAGAAAATATTCACAAATATTTACTTCATACTATGTCACCCATGTCAGAGGTGACATGAACATTATTGCCACCTGTGTCTGCCATGTCCCCAACATTTATGCCATGTCCTCAGATGTATTATGTTTATAGATACCATCAACTCCACGATATAATGTATTTGCATTGAATGGTCCTATGTGCATAAAAAAAAAAATAAGAGAAAAACTGTTTTTCTTTATTTACCCAGACATTTTAAAAATTTGTGTTTCATTTTAAAGAATCAAATTTCCAGCAAGAACTGTTTCCCTTTGGGCAAGAACTTGCAGAGGCCTGGCGTCCTCTTGCTGGAAACGAGTGCTCAGCGCTTGCTTCCAGGAGGCTCGAAGTGCCTTTGGGGTAAAAATGACCCAGTTTCTGTCCCCACCGTCAGTGAAATGTATGTAGAGCAACATGGTAACAGGGTCTTGCCTTGGGGTGTTCCGAGACCCCCAGAGATGCGTGCAGACTGCGGAACGCTGAGAACAGCAAGTCTAGTTGAAGCCTTCACCACAGCAAGGGCGACTTCCCACGCCTGAGGAAAAAGAGCCCGTTACTTCAAAGGACTGGAAGCCCGAGGATCCATAAGGCGAAAGAGCATAACGTAGGAGGCATCTCCCCGGCTCGGCCCTGACCTGCTACGTGACACTTTCTGCCCTAATTTTCTCATCTCTACAGTGTGACCGTGGCCCTCCCTGGCGGTGCAACTTGCTGGCCACAGCTGCTTCACCGCAAGTTCGATCCCTGGCCTGGGAGGGACCCCCAGGGCGAGCAGACCTCTCTGTGTCCAGCCCACTCCCCTCAGCAGTGGATTTCAGTGGATCTGCCAGTTTGCTCCCCACTCTGTCTCTAGTGAACCCTCTCACTGCCCCTACAACTCTGGCCTGCACCCCAGTTCTGGAATGCATAAATAAATCTTAAAAAAAAAAAAAGAAGTGACTGGCCTTGACTGTCCCCCTAACTTAGGCTACAGCACTGGGAAGATAAAATGAGGGATGAAGGCGGGCATAAGTCAAGTTGTTAAGAGGTGTTAAATACAAGCTTTTATCTCCCAGAAAATTCTCAAACATTCTCAATTTATACGATGCAGGTGACAAAATCGCAGGAGGAAGCATCTTCCCTTCCCAATGGTGATGTGGTGGGGGAGGCGCAGAGCACCGAGGAGGTAAGAGCAGCGTGTCTGTCCACTTCCTGTCTGTCCACCTCTCCCCTCCCCTCCCCTCCCTTCCTTCCCCCTCCCCTCTTCTCTCCCCCCATCATCTGACGGTAAAGTGTCTCTCTGCACAAGCAAGAGAAAACAAACACTGCCTGAATGTCTAAATATTGAGCCTTGGGCGTTCGCTTCATGAGCCGTAAGTGGGGGAATTGGGACTGCTCACCCGGGGAGCTTCTTAGCCCACCGTACACTGGGTCAGGTTAGTGGACTCACACCAGTAGAGCTGTCTAGCACTTTCCCGTGTTGACCACCTGTGGAAGCCAAGGGCTGCGACAGACAGGAGGCCTTGGCTTCCTGTCGTCACATGTTCTGTGTCTAAATAAGTAAACTACAGCTCCTGTGGTCTGGTTTTTTCTTGGAAACGTATCTTATCTAAGGTTATGATCTTGTGGGTTTCTTTGTGACCAGGGAACAGAGAAGGCTGAGGAAAGTGGAGAGAACGAGGGGCAAAAGGAGGAAGAGGAAGGTGCCGGAAACTCCGCCGAACCCCAAGAGAAGAGAGTGAGTGCTGCGTTTTAAACTGGTTTCATGGGGTTTGGTTCTCTTCAGCAAATGTTTATGGCACTTTGCCAGGTGCCAGGAGCCTTTCAGGGCATACAACAGAGAGACAGAAGTAAGGCATTGAGAGAGCCACGAGGGGGAGGCAGGTGGCTCTGATGTGACTGTTAACTGCTGGGAGTGGGATGCCTGAGGCTAAAGGCAGCAGAGGAGGCCAGCAGAGGAGGCCGGCAGAGGAGGCCGGCAGAGGAGGCCGGCAGAGGAGGCCGGGGACCCAGGCCGGCAGGGACAGGGAGCAAGGCTTGGACGCCGGCTGTGCATGGGGTCAGGTCAGGCTCTTGTTCTTTATACAACAGGGGACCTTCTTCTTCTGTTGGTCATGAGACTCGACAGAGCAGGCCTGAGGGAGGCCAACAGGAACTGAGGTTAGAGAGGGCACTGTGGGGAGGGAAAGAGATAGCAGCTCAAATGCCATCAGGGAATATTGATCCCAGCTGACCCAAGCCCTGTGCTCTAATTGGAAAGGGTTCCTCTTCAGGGTCCACTGAGGTGTGGGGGAGCCTGTGGTTTTAGAAGAGCCAAACTGAGATAATGGGGGACCTTGTGGGCCAATTATTCAAGATATTCTCAACAACATAGGTGGGAAGCCAGGCAGGGAGGCCTGGTGCAGAAGAGCCTGATGGCATGGCGTTGCCAGCGTTTGGCTGAGCTTCTGCTTAGGAGATCTTCAGTGGGCTTCTGCACTGGGCTAGTTGTGGCAAAGATGTCCTACGAGACCTGGAACGTTTGCATTTTTACCTATTTATTGTCTCATGGGCACATGCAGGCATCTTTTAAGATTAGTTGGTGGCTGTGCAGCCATTATGGAAAGTAGCATGGAGATTCCTTATAAAAAAAAATCAGTGTGGATCCAGTTGCCTTCTGGGTGCTTGCTCAAAGAATATAAAACACTGATTCCAAGAGACACAGGCACCTCCATGCTTATTGAAGCACTATTTATAAGAGCCAAGAGTTGTAAATAACCTAAATGCCCATCAACTGATGAATGTTGTATCTATAATACAGTGGAATATTACTCAGCTATGAAAAATGACAAACCCCTGCCATTTGCAATATGGATGGACCTAGAGGGTGTTATACTTAGTGAAATAAGTCAGACAGAGAAAGATAGACACTGTATGAATTTTATCATCTGGTACAAATAAATGGACTAATACAGCATAAACAACCTTTTAGGCTATAAGATCAACTAGTGGTTACTGGAAGAGAAAGGGAAGAGGGGAGTGTGTCAGTAGAGTAAATGGGACCAGTTAATGGCAAAGGGTAGAACTGGACTTTTAGTGATGAACTTAATGTGGTAGTTACATGCTGATTAGTCATGCACACCTGAACATACAATGTTATCATGCTGTGCCACTTAAACAGTAGCTGGGCCCCTGTCCAGCCTGTGAAATGTAGTCAGTAAGGGAGTTAAGACAGACACCCCACTACGGAAAATGGGGCGTGGGGTGGAATTGAGTTGTCTTTATCTTAGGCTTTTAAATTTGGAAGGGATCCCTATTTCAAATTGTTGATCATTTAAAATTCCCTGAATGTTTTTAAAGACAAAATCTTTAATCCTGCCCTGGAAGCCGGGTTTCATGGTCATCTGTCTAATTCAGAATGAATGAATCATCGTCTTCCTGACAGTTTCGTTATCTTGTCATTAAAAAGTTCTGGGTTTCTGAGCCTTTCATGAATTACTTAATGTACTTTTACATTATATTGTTGATTTATACTTGAAAATTCAGTTAGCTTCTTTAAAGTGAGAGACACAGATAAAAAACATTATGCCCCAACCCCTTACTCCCATGAAATCGAGAGGACATCAGCCTTTTTATACTCAGACTCAGCCTGTGGCTACCAGGCCAGGCTCACCCCTCAGCCAGGCCAGCCTCACCCCTAAACTGGTGACTCATTCAGCCTGGAGATTCTCCTTGTCACTGTTCGGAAACATTGTGAGTCCTTACAAAATAAATTATAATCTTGTGAATCCTGATAAGAATTAAAAATAAATTATGCTCGTTAGTTTCACCTGGGTTGTGATGAATAAACAGCTAAATACAAGACATTTAACTTCAGTTGAATATACATGATCAAATTCATTTTCAACTCATAGTATTTTTTAAAAGATTTATTTATGCACACAGAACTGGGGTACAGGACAGAGGCTCAGGGGCGGTGAGAGGCTTCACCGGAGACAGAGTGGGGAGCAGAACAGGCAGACTGATGAGGTACACTGCTGAGGGGAGCAGCGGGGAGACAGGAGCGGTGTGTTGCGCTCTGTGGGTCAGCTCCAGGGCGGGGGATCGAACTCGCACTGAAGTGGCCACAGCTTGGCTTGGCTTTGCAGTGCGGAGCTCCAGCCCACTGTGCTCCAGGGAGAGCCTCTTACAGCATTTAAAAAGGTTATTTATGCATCTGAGAGCTGGGGTACAGGCCAGAGGTGTGGGGGGTGAGAGGGTTCACCAGAGAGCAGAGCGGGGAGCAGAAGAGGCAGATTCATTGAAATCCACCGCTGAGGGGAGCAGCAGGGAGACAGGAGAGGTCTGCCGCGCCCTGTGGGTCCCTCCCTGGCCGGGACCAAACTCATGCTACAGTGGCTGCGGTCAGACGCACCGCGCTGGGACTGAAGCCCTGGCTCCATCAGGGCGGCCCGACTCAGTGTTTACTCTACAGAAAGATCCTGACTTCTCCCCTTAACAAGTGGCACTTGCTCTTTGACATACTTTAATTAAATAAGAGCAAAACCGTGAGTTGTTGATAACCAGATTCCAAATGATGTCACACTATGGCTAGCTTTGAAAAGGAGCAAAGAAATCAGTTGAAGTTTAGCAAGGAGCTGGAAACTGGAGCGTCCGGCTGAGTCATGGCTCAGTCTTCTGACCCTCACACATGCGAAGGCTCACACGGCGCCTTTTCAGCCGAAGAACAGTTACCTCAGGACATCACACTGTTTAGGAGAATCAGAAATGGAGACAGCCATTATTTCCTTTACTCACCTACACCTCATCTGCCCCCTCGCCCCCACCCCGCCGGGGGTCCTTACACCCAAGATGGCAAGATGGCGGGGCCCGTGTCTGAAAAGGCCTCATGCCTACGAGGCTCTGAGCTGTCGCTTCAGCTGCTCCATAGAGGAAATTCACAGCCCTCCTGACAGCCTTGGGGGGCTTGTAGCTGGAAGGGAGCGAGTGGGGTGCAGAAGGCCTCTCTGACAGGAGCCACGTGCTGGGCATCGGAGGCTTCGCGACACAGGGAACTTGTGCATGTTCTGGTTTGCGTTTGGCTTCCCTGAGGAACACGGCTTGGCGGTGTCCTCCGCTGACCACTGGCCCTCCCACCATCTTTTGAGAACTTGACTTGACCAGCTGCATGATGATGGCCGACAAATCAACCCTCTTGCCTTCCTCCAAATCGGTCTTGAGGAAAGTTGCTTTGTGTAGACAGACATGTTGGCTCAGTCCGGGAGCGGCGGGCCAGCCCCGTGAGGGCCCTGGGGGGGCCCTTGCCCTGTGCTGCTCTCTTCAGAACACTGCTGCCGGCCCTCTGCACCCTCCCTCACCAGGCACTTGTCCTGAGCGGCCACCGCCTGACCCTCAGCACCTATCCTGAGTCCTGGCCAGCTGCCACGTCCGTAGTCTGCCCCACTGGAAGGGGCCCAGCCGAAATAGCCGCTGGTTTAAGTTCTCAGCCTCCCTCCATCTGAGACTTGCCCCGAAGATGCGGGTAGCCCCAGTGCTGAGACAGCCCCTTGGCCACCAGGGAGGCCCCAGAGATTCAGACTCTGACCTCGGATCTTGAGCTCACAACTTGGTCCCAGACATGTCCAGCGTGAGGTCCCAGAGACCAGGAGGACCCTGCCGTGCTCTGTGGAGCAGCTGGTGATGGTCGACAGCACAGAGTCCCCAGATGACCTGTGACCCTGAAAGTGCCATTGGAAGTTTGTCCGGAAGGGGCAGCTGACTTGAGAAAGCGGCGTGTGACCCACACGGAGGAGGCCAGGCGCCTGGAGGCCGGCAGTGAGCGGGGCAGGTCCACGCGGCCTTCCAGCCTTCCAGAGCGCTAGGTGTATCTTGAAAAGATGCGAGCTTTTTATTTTCCCTGTTACCCCCTCAACCCAGCCACTCATCTACTGTTTCTATGAGTTTGACCTTTTAGGTAAAGACAGTGTTCACCTTTCTCTGTCACTTAGTATAAAGCCCTCAAGATCTACCCATGTTTTTGCAAATGGCGGCATTTCCTTGTTTCTCAGGGCTAAATAGTATACCATTCTTTTGCCGTTGGTTCTTCCACCCATCCATCCATCCATCCATCCATCCATCCATCCATCCATCCATCCATCCATCCATCCATCCA